TTTCGGTTGTTCAACTGTTATGAATGAATTTACTTTTTGTGTTTTGCTTTTAAATCAAAAGTGAATTGTGAAAGCAGGCTGATACTCGTTCCCTGTTATCCTTGGTTGTGGAACTGCATTGGATGTTTTATTTGTCTGTAGTGTACTTCCAGGGGACCAATGCATCAGATAAACCCTCATAAATTACATGTATTTTATGAGTAGAATCCTCAAAAGAAAGGATATTTGTCTACTTGAAAAGCAGACCTATTGACTAAGTTTCCAGCATTGTGAAGATGGGACTCAGCAAATACTTTACTATCTGTGAAATATGGCAAAATCTAGTTATCGGTGACAGTTACAGCACCATGCAAAACTATGAAAGTGAGTTTTTTTTCTCATGACTAATGAATTAAAACTACCAATGCGTGATAATTTGTTAGTTAGTCAAAAAAGACAGTGTAGATGACTATTTTCAGTTGTTTGACTAGTTATGATTATGTTTCAAATTTTTTCATTCAAACTTTTGCATAATTCAGACAAAAAGACTACTATTTCTTGTTTGTTTCCTCAGGGTTTTGTTATCAGGCTGTCCACGTCTTTGGATACCAAGTCTGTCTACCTCACCAGCACCAGTACCAGGCCCCCAATCTCCCCCATCGTCACCTCACAGTCCAACTCACCATCAATCACCTCTCACATCATCGATGCCTCATGGACAAGCTTCCCCTGGAAATGGATATTGTTTGAACAGTGTTTCTGGTAATCCCTTTCCATTGATTAGTTTAGTAATTGTAAATAGGGGCAATTCACAATACAGCGCACCACCAAGAGTTTGGCACAGACAAGCCACTTCTCAAGTCTACGGTCGACACCTTGCTGTGATTTAGTGCACTTCATACGTAATTTGGGGATATTTGATTGATTCAGGCATTCCCTGCTCCGTGCACACAAAAAACATCATTTTGGCTTCTTAACACCTGTTTGCAATATGCACTTTTGAATTTTCAACCAAGATAAACAAACATTTGAAAGAAATTAAAGTTTTCCGTGCACAGAACAAACAAACATTTGAAAGAAATTAAAGTTTTCCGTGCACTGGACAGTTAGTAAACAAGATTTTGTCAACTCTTTATCCCATAATGCACTGTGAAAGGCCTCTCTTTGACAAACTCTTGGTGGCGCACTATGTGAATTGCCTGTATTCACTGATTCAGACGTACCTACCTGAGAATGCAATATCCTTGTTTGTTCCCATAGGGCAAAAGATCAAGTCCACCCCTCTATCACCAGCAAGATGGTTGGGGGCATTCCCCAGGAATCTGCCCATCATTGCTGGCCAACAGAATCAACCATCAGCAAGAAACCAACAGCAATGCCCTGCGTCATCATCACATCAGACACCATCAACGTCGCCTCAACAAACAACCCTCAATACAGTGTCCAGAGATGCTGCATGCCGATAGTTCAACAAGGACTCCAGCCTCCCTTGTCCCTACATCTCAGCATTGCAGACTGGAGGTGTTCTCCTGCGCTATAAAGG